CAATAAATGCAATCAGCAGAATGGGGGTGGTTAGCCGACTTCTCCAAGAAGACACAGCACTAGAAGTGTGTTTCTAGGTGGCCAACCTTGAAAGGTCTCGAAGGTGTTGACTCCAGTCTCACGGACCGCGTAAAAAGTCGGGAGTCTTGAGATGTGGGTTCTGTCCTCGGCTGCATCCTGAATTTCTTGCTCAGCCCTCGGGAACTGACTTGCATTCATATTGTCAGGAATGGCCCTGGTCTGATTTTTCAGGAGGTGCTGAGAACCCGCACATCCCACTCATCTGGAGTGGAGTTAGGGTATTCAGCTCTTCTGAAAATCAGACCTCACGCGTTTCAAGTGGAGCGGCCAGGATTAAAACAATCTCCTGCTGGTTTGGGACTGCCATCCATTCGCCACTTCAGTTGTGCAAGATTTCTCATCAGCTTTCTGTGTAAAGAACACTGCTTATGTGTCTAAAACTGCCCCGTGGTGGTTTAAACCATACCTGGAATGGAAGAATCAACCATTGCAATGGGCACTCGTGAACCGTCACACGGGGATCTGAAATGGGACAGTGCCCAAGGCTCAAACCTACTTTCCAAGGCATTCAATGAATGCACAAGATCCCTCTACAAAACACATCACGAGATCCCAAAACTCACATTGGGTTTGTACACCGAATGGAGATCAGGAATGGACAGATGTGTGGCTACGCATGCAGGAGACAGCTATTACTGCACCTCTCTGCTGGGCAGCCAGTATTAGCCTGTTTGCCTCCAGTAAGCAGCTATCCCAGAATGGGTGTGGACACATGCATCTTGTGGTGCATCTCACACCACTAGTGTTTTGCCCTGATTCTTCTAGGGGTAATTCTCTGCTTGACTGAGCACTTATTTTGGGGGTAAAGTTTTGCATTATCAGTGTGGCACTTACATGGACGTAAAGCTGATTACACTGATGTAAATTTGCCATCTGTCCAGGCCTGAACAAGCACAGTTGTAACACTGAGGGTAATCAACCCGATACAGTTGACTGAGGACCTGCTAAATTCACCCTTCCTTGGACTCCTTCCTGTCAGGGCTGCATCTGCTTCTAAGAGAGATGTTTTCATGTGCCCTCAAACTTCCAGGCTCAGCACAGGTATTGCCAGGCAAGATTTTTACCCTGCTGATCAAAATGGGCTCTTCTGACCTCTATGAGTCCACAGATGTTTCCTCCATGCCTGGGAGAGTGCAGCAACAGGGCTAAGGATTCCTCATCCTAAGGATCCTTCACCTGAAAGACTACGGGGAGCATGTTTCAGCAGG